CCTGTCCCACCATCTACAAGGCACAAGGCAGGAGGGTGATGGAATACTCCCCACTTGCCCCTGGATGGGGGCAGCTCCAACATCACTCAAGAAGCTCGACACCATCCAGGACAAAGCAGCCCCCGCTCGATTGGAACCACATCCACAAACATCCCACTCCCTCCCCCACCGACGCTCAGTCACAGCAGTGTGTACCATCTACAAGATGCTCTGCAGAAATTCACCAAAGATCCTCAGGCAGCACCTTCCAAACCCACGACCCACTTCCATCCAGAAGGACAAGGGGCAGCAGATACATGGGAACACCACCCCCTGCAAGTTCCCCTCCGAGCCACTCCCCATCCTGACTTGGGAAATATATCCCTTTTCCTTCAGTGTCGCTGGGTCAGAATCCCTGGAATTCCCTCCCTAAGGGACATTGTGGGTCACCCCACAGCACATGGACTGCAGCGGTTCAAGAAGGCAGCTCACCCCCACCTTCTCAAGGGGGGCAACTAGGGACAGGGCAATAAATGTTGGGCCCAGATAGTGAGGCCATGTCCCATGTGTGAATAAAAGAATGGTTTGTGTAATGGGAATGAAAGATATGGGAAGGTGGAGACTGAGGAACATCGAGTGAAGGTGGGTCAGTGGAGATTGAGGGATGGGAGAGACGGAAAATGGGGAATGGGGATTGAGGGATAATGGAGAGAAATTGGGAAGATGGCACCTGATGGATATGGGGGGAGGTGGAGATGGGAGTGATAGGAGGCATGTAATTTAACGCATTACTGCTTCTGCCTGTCTCTCACAGGATGCTTTCTGGTGTCTGGTTCAAATCTGTGAACTGTATGTCCCAGGATATTACAGTCAAGGCCTGGTGAGTATTATTGTTGTGATCGCTGTTCCCTCTCTCCTGTGCCAGGCTCCGTTCCCTGTCCAACTATCGCTGTTCCCTTACTCTGTCCACCCCCTACATTACAATGATTGTTATGCCTCTCTCACTCAATATGTTACCTCTGCAGTGATCCCTCTCCCCTCTATCTCATTCTGCTCACTATGATCTCTACCTTTTGTTGTGATCATTGTTCCCTCTTTCTCACGCTCCTCACCTGCACTGAGATTCCTCTTTCTTCTTCCCCTGTGCGCGGTGATCGCTATTCCCTTTTATCCTGCTGCTTCACTGTGCTGTGACCCACTCTCATTCTTTGCCTGCCCTGTGCTATGATCACTACTCCCCTCTCCCACGTGCTTGTGCTCCTTCACAAGGGTTATGATCACTATTCCCCCCTCTTTCACGCTGTGTCCTACGTTATGATCACTATTTCCGCTCTCCTGCACCTTCTGCCACTGATCGCAGTATGTTTGGGCCCCCAACAGGAGGCAGTGCAGCTCGATGGGCAGGTCCTGTTCAGCTTGCTGAGGAAGGTCAGTTCTGTGGCATACAGACACCTGAAGAAACACCAGGTTGACCCCCTCATTTACATGACAGAATGGTTCATGTGTCTGTTCTCTCGTACCCTGCCCTGGGCCACAGTGCTGCGAGTGTGGGATATGTTCTTCTGTGAAGGTGAGGCAGCCCTGTGTGTGTGTCTGTCTGTGTGTGTGTGTGTCTGTCTGTCTGTCTGTGTGTGAGAATGTGTGAGAGTGTGTGTGTGTGTGAGAGAGTGTGTGAGAGAGTGTGTGTGTGCGCGCGCGCGCGCACATGTGTGTGTGTCTGTGTGTGTGTGTGTGTGAGAGTGTGTGAGAGAGTGTGTGTGCGCGCGCGCGCACATGTGTGTGTGTCTGTGTGCATGTGCGCATGTGTGACTGTGTGTGTCTGCATGTGTGTGTGTGTCTGTGTCACTGTGTGTGTGTGTCTGTGTGTGTCACTACATGTGTCTGTGTGTGTCACTACATGTGTCTGTGTGTGTGTGTGCGTCTGTTAGTATGTGGGTGTGACAGCAAGTGTGAGAGAGTTAGAGACAGAGATACAGAGACAGATGGAGAGAGAAACAGACAGAGAGAAAGACACAGAGAGAGTGAGTGAGTCAGGGAGTTATACAGAGAGAGAGACAAAGGGAGGATGAGACAGAGACATAGAGACAGAGAGAGGATGAGACAGAGACATAGAGAGGTGGGGGCAGCATTGGAAAAGAAGTGATAGTATGTGGGGAGAGAGAAAAACAGATGGATTTGGCAGAGGAAGAGAAATGGTAAGAATGGGAAGCAGCTGAATAGAGGGAAGAGGGCGGGAGCAGAGGAATACAGGGAGGGAGGAATAGAGAGGGAAGGAGAAAGAGACGGATGGAGGAGCAGGTGGATAAGAGTGAGAGCTGAGAGAGGGGCAGAGAATGTGAAAAACTGAATAAAGAGAGAAAGGGAGAGCACAGCGCTGGGGTCGGGAAGATGGAGAGGGACAGACAGAAGGACATAAAGTTGGAGCAGGGGTAGTCCATTCGGCCCCTAAAGGCTGCCCTGTTACTCTACAAGAACATGCTGACCCAACCCAGGCCTCAACACACCGCCTGTACTCTCCCTCCCCCTCCTCAGTATTTCAGCAATCTATCCACTTCCTCTTCAAACACTTTCATTGATCGAGCTTCCAGAACTCTTTGGGGGGGGTTGCAGAATCCCAGACAAACACGGCCCTCTGGGTAAAAGACACGCCATTCCCGTCTTGGTTTGAGCTGTGTGCCCTTATTCTGTTACGATGATTGAGATTCCTGGACCCAATGGGAATATCTTCCCAACATCTCTCCCCCCTCCATCGCTCCCCTCCCCCTCACAATCCTGTCTGTTTCAATAAGATCGCCCCCTGGATCTTCCGACGCTCCAACGAACCCAGGCCGTGTCCATCGACCCTTTCTCCATCAGTGACCACCCTTCATCCCAGTAACCCATCCCGAGGGAACCCCCTTCTGAACTGTTTCCAAAGGCCGTACATCATAGAACATGGAACAGTACAGCACAGGAACAGGCCCTTCGGCCCACAATGTTGTGCCTGACATGATGCCAATATAAACTAATCCTTTCAGCCTGCCCTCGGTCCATATCCCTCCACATATCCATGTGTTTATCTAAAAGTCCTTTAAATGCCCCTATCGTATCTGCCTCCATGCCACCCCCAGCAGTGCAGGGAGGGAATGGCCTAGTGGTATTATCGCTGGACTATGAATCCAGAGACCCAGACAGTACTCCAGGGACCCAGGTTCGAATCCCTCCATGGCAGATGGTGGAACTTGAATCCAATAAAATATCTGGAATTAAGAGTCTAATGATGGCCATGAATCCATTGTTGATTGTTGGGAAAAACCCATCTGGTTCACTAATGTCCCTTACCTGGTCTGGGCCTACATGTGACTCCAGACCCACAGCAATGTGGTTGACTCTGAACTACCACAAACTGGGAGTAAGGCTCTTCAGCTGGAGTTCCTTTTCTTCCCCCCACCCACTCTCTCTTTTCTCCCCAAACTTTTAACTGAAACTTACCCGGAGGGAATGGAGGAGACTAAAGGCCGTCGCTGATGGGTCTGGGAGGGGACACCCAGGCCAGGCCTGTTGGGGGGGCTCTGAGAGCAGAGGCCGGAGCAGAGGGGACGCAAGCCCAGGACAGAGGCCAGGCCCTCGGGGGCAGGAAACAAGGCCTCGAGGTTTGAAGCCTGGCGTGGTCTAGGCTGTCTGGCCTGGGGTGGGGGGGGAGCTCTGTGCGTCATGGACTTGGTGGAAAGACAGGGTGATTTTTTCAAAAATAACTTTGTTTTTAATGCCAAACTTTTAGTTCCAATTCTTTCAAGATTGTAGCCCATGCTTAAGGATCTGCACCCTATAGGTGTCCTGCAGCAACATTACAAACTTTTTGCTGTACACACTGACAATAGAGGCTTAATTCAACACACCCTGATCTATCTCACCAATGTTACGCACTCCCCCCCCCCCCCCCCCCAACCTCACTGATATCGTCCTTGATTCGCAAAGCTACCTCACCTCCTTATTGCTTTTCGGTCTCGAATCTTGAACACTGAGATTCCCAGCCTTGGTCACCTTGTAGCCACGTCTCTGTCGCAGCGATCTGGAAATGGCGGAGGAACTGAAGGGTCATTCTTCGCTGTGGAAGGCACCAGAGGCAGAGCAGAACGTCAGGAGAGTGAGGGGGCCAGAGGTGAGGGTAATGGCCGTCTCTGAGGAGATGGCGCTGGGGAAGTTGAAAGGCCTGAAAGTGAATAAATCACCGTGCAGACTGCACCCCAGAGTTCTGAGGGATTGTGGAGGCGCTGGTGACGGTCTTTCAGGAATCGCTGGAGTGAGGCAGGGTCCCAGAGGACTGGGAAATGGCTAACATTACACAGCAGGCCAGGCAGCACCTGGAGGGATGGAGCTGTCAACGTTTTGGGCGTTACCCTCCATGCTCCTGAAGAACACCCAAAACGTTGACCTGCTCCTTTCCTCCAGACGCTGCCTGGCCTGCTGTGTTCTTCCAGCCTCCTGTCTGTCTACCTTGGGTTCCTGCATCCGCAGGTTTTTTTATTTGTCTCTGGCTAATGTAACCTCCCTCGCTCCCCCTACCCCCCATTTAAGGAGGGAGGGAGGCAGAAGGCAGGAAGCGTCGGCTGATCGGTCGTTGGTAAGATTTTAGAGTCTGTTATTAAGGGTGAAATTGCGGAATATTTGGAAGTGCAGGGTTAAATAAGAGCTCAGTCAGCTCGGCTTCATCAAGGGGAGGTCATACCTGACGAATCTGTTCCAATTCTTTGAGCAGGTAAAGAGCAGGTTAGGCAAAGGAGAGCCAGTGGATGTGATCTATTTGGGTTTACAGAAGGTCTTTATCAAGGGACTGTATGGGACGCCATTATAATGAGACAAGAACCCACAGTGTTGGGTGTAAGGACATGGATAGAGGATTGGCTGACAGGCAGGAGGCAGAGGGTGGGGCGGGGTGTGGTGGGGGCAAAGGGGTCTTCATCAGGATGGCAGGAGACGACTGGCGCAGTCCTGCAGGGGGTCAGTGTTGGCACCACTATTCCTGTTAAACGTTAACCATGTGCACTGAGGGTGTTATAGCTAAGTCTGCAGGTGGGAGGTGGAGGGAGAGGTAGTGTTGAGGGGGCTGAGAGAGCAGGCAAAGAAGGGGCAGATGGAATACAATGCGGGATGGCAGCACTTTGTTCGGAAGAATAGAGGGGCAGACTGTTTTCCAAATGGGGAAAGGCTCCTTAAACCTGAAACACAAGGGGACCATAGAGTCCTAGTTCAGGATTCCCTCGGGGTTAGCATGCTGGCTCAGGGTTACAGGAGAATGGGTTTGGGAAACATATCAGCAAATGGCCTTGCAGGCTCGCTGGGCTGAATGGCCTAATTCTACATCTATGTCTGATGGCCTTTTATTTCCACTTGCGCTATCACTTCCTGTACATGGTCACAAATTCTGTGTGCATTCGGACACAGAGCCTTAAGCTCGGATTGATTGACATTATCATTTCGCTCTGGTTCTAATTCCTGCCACACGCTTCCACATATATTTCCTGCACCTTCCAACCTCTCAATATCGCTGAGTACCCCTGCTGGCACAATCCCTTTTGATTTTTGACAAACTTAACTTCAACTGAAACCCCCCACACGGACACAAATTAGTTTAAAAGACCTACTGATGCATAGTCAGAAGAACAGATATAAAGAGAGAAAGTGAAATGGTGAGAGAGACAGAGAGGGAGTGAGAGAGAGAGAGCGAGAGAGAGACAGAGAGAGAGAGGAAGAGTGTGAGAGACTGAGCGACACAGAGAGAGAGAGAGTGTGAGCGACACAGAGAGGGAGAAAGAGAGAGAGATGGAAACAAGGATACAGACAAGAAAGACAGACAGCTGAAGAGAGAGATAGAGACACAGAGAGAAATGGTGAGTGAGCAGGCTGAGTGACACCTACATGGAACCAAACTTATGTTACCTCTTCTGCGAGGGTTAACTCTAACTTCCTACTGCTTCCCAGGAGTGAAGGTCATATTCCGAGTAGCTCTAGTCCTCCTCAAAGTCAGCTTGGGATCCTCAGACAAGCTGAAGGACTGTCAGGGGTTGGTGGAAACACTGGAGAAGCTACGGAACATCCCACCCAGATTCCTACAGGAGGATT